TTGTGGGTTCTGGTGATCCAGTTCTGGTTGTTAGGCTCAGCATCAAGTATCTCTACCCAGCAAGCCAGGGATCTTAGCCTTGTGTGTCATGGCCCTAGGAAGAGAAACAACACTTCCACAGGGGTGAGCCAAGACATCAGAGCACTCAGATGTTTATATTATGATTCATAACAGTAGCAAAATTACAACTATGAGGTAACAGTGAGAATAATTGTATGGTTGGGGGTCACCACAACATGACAAACTTTATTAAAGGGTCACAACATCAGGAAGGTTGAGAACCACTGTACTAAGCCCTCTCATCAGCAGTGCCCAGGCCTCTTAAATATCATTAATCACATTTAAATATGCACACATGCATTTAATTTCTTCATACCAATATTAATAAATATTAAAAAGATTTCATTGTCTTAAAAATAAATGAAAATTTTAAGTGGGCACAGGTTTTGTAAAAAGATGAAACAACAATTAGCAGTCTAGATTCCTGGGTCAGGCATTGTGTATCTGATGGATCAGCCATTATGATGATGCCCCTGAAAAATTCATTTTTGTTCCATATGATCCCCAAATGCAATGTAGATGAGAGTGTAGGCGTCTTTTTTCATTAATCAAGAAAAACTTTATTCCAACTTAACAGAAAACACCTTATGGAAGGGAATGGAGACTGGCGGGTGGGGAACGCATTCCTGTCTCCATGGAGGTCAGACACAGGGCAGACAGACAGCTGCATGACAGGAAAGAGGACTTAGAGGAGTAAGCAGGTCATGGGTAAGATCAGATCAGATCTGATCAGTGTTTAGATCAGAAAGAGAAAGAAAAGAAAAGTGACAAGTTCTGAGTATTTCAGGAAAGTGGACAGGCATATGAGCCAGCATGGATGTACATTGGTAAGATGCTGTGCTAGACAGTGGGGTTCTGAGATGGGACAGTGTGGCATTTATTAAAGGTAAAATAATTTAACCTCTAGCATGACTTAAGGGAACACTTCTTTCTGGGGAGACCCCTTGGCCATGCTGACACTGTCCAACTGTAATATTTGCACTCTACACAGACATTCTATTCTCTTGACCAGGCACTTCCTTTCTTCCTTCCTTCATTCCTTCCTTCCTTCCTTCCTTCTCTCTCTTCTTTCTTTGTTTTATGTTTTGTTTTGTTTTTCAAGAGAGGGCTTCTATGTATAATAGTCCTGGCTGTCCTGGAACTTGTTTTGTAGCCCACACTCACATGATAGACCAGTCCATGACAGTCAGGGCAACTCAGCACCAATGGTTCAAGATGGATCTTGGCATAAGCAACCAGAAAAGTCAGCCATTGAGGTGACAAGACCTAGTTTTTTATAAACATTTTGTATTGATATTTATTGAGCTCTACATTTTTCTCTGCTCCACTCCCTGCCTCTCCCTTCCCCCTTCAACTCTCCCCTAAGATCTCCATATTCTCAATTTACACAGGAGATCTTGTCTTTTTCTGCTTTCTACTTCCCATGTTGATTTTATCTCTGTAAGTCTCCCTTAGTGTCCAAATTGTTATCTAAGTTCTCTGGGATTGTGATTTGTAGGCTGGCTCTCTTTGCTATATGTTTATAAAGCACTTATGAGTGAGTACATAATTGTCTTTATGTGATAATTGTCTTTCTGGGTCTGTCTGGGTTACCTCACTCAAAATAATGTTTTCTAGCTCCATGCATTTTCCTGCAAAATTCAAGATGTCCTTATTTTTTTTTTTGCTCTGTAGTACTCCATTGTGTAAATGTTCCACATTTTTCTTATCCAATCTTCAGTCAAAGGGCATTTATATTGCTTCCAGGTGCTGCCTATGACAAACAAAACTGCTATGAACATAGTTGAGCACATGTCCTTGTGGCATGATTGAGCATCCTTTGGATATATACCCCAAAATGGTATTACTGGGTATTGAGGAAGGTTGTTTCCTAATTTTCTGAGAAATTGCCACACTGGCATCCAAAGTGGTTTTACCAGCTTGCATTCCCACAAGCAATGCAAAAGTGTTCCCTTTTCCCCACATCCTCTCCAGCAAAAGTTGTCATCAGTGTTTTTGATCTTGGGGATTCTTACAGGTGTAAGATGGGATCTCAAAGTTGTTTAAATTTGCATTTCTCTGATGACTAACGATGTTGAAAATTTCCTTAAGTGTCTTTCAACCATTCTAGATTCCTCTGTTGGACAAGACCTAGTTTTACACTGTCACCCTCAGCAGTCTAAAGAGTACCATAAGCTTTTATGTAGGAATCTTTGTAACATGATGGGCTGGCTTCTTGGGGTTTCTGTCCCGCCCAGTACCCCACAGCCAGAAAGCCCAAAGAAAAATCACACACTGGACTCCATAAGGTTATAAACTGATTGGCCCTTAACTCTGGCTACTTTTTAGCTCTTATAACATATATTACCCCATTATCGTTATCTATAATAATGTGTAGTTATCGTTAGCTACACGGGCTCAGTACCTTTCTCAGTGTGACAGCTTACATGTTGCCTCTTCGGTGGTCTGCGCAGGAATGACAGAGGAACCTCCCTGCTTCCCAGAATTCTCCTGTTCTCATTGCATCACCTCTACTTCCTGTCTGGTTTTCCTGCCTATACTTCCTGCCTGGCCAATCAGCATTTTATTAAAATATGATTGACAGAATACAGACAATTCTCCCGCATATTTCCCTCTTTTAAAAAAAAAACAAAGGAAAATACTCATAGTCCATTTGTTGGGAGTGTGGGCGTAGTATTTCAGGCTACTTCCTGCTGGTTGGGGGCGCTGATAATCTTATGGGAACCTAAAGAAAATTTAGAATTATCATCAAGTCCTGACTGGAGTATCCTGTGAGTCTTGATCATCTCAGGCAGCAGTCTTGAACCTGTTCTGGATGAAGAACTCAGACATCTGGGCCATCAGTTCCTGTCGGAGATTTCTCAGGTGGACTTCCTTGATCATAATGGATTTTTCTTAACTCAGAATGAATCCAAAACCTCTCATTTTCTGTGGAAACAAAAGCAAAATCTCTTCTCCAAAGTAACATACTTTTGACTTCAGTTTTGAAGCCAAGGTATTTTCAAAATTCCTATCTTGGGTTAGTTCAGCAGCATTTATAAACAAAAGTCTTTTAGCAGCTGTTGCTCCTTCCTCAGCAATCAAACAATTCAAAGAGAGCATAATAGCATACAGTATCAAGATTCTCTGTATATTTTCCATCTTTATTTTAACCTCTAGTTCTTCTATTTTTACTTTTACTTTTTGAGACAGGCTCTCTGTATATCTTTGTCCTGGAGTAACTCTGTAGACCAGGCTGTCCTTGAACTCACAGAGATCCCTTTGTCTCTGCCTCCCCAGTGCTGGGATTAAAGGCGTGTGCTACCACAACTTGAACTCACAGAGATCTGTCTGTCTCTGCCTCCCAGGCATTGGGATTAAAGATGTGTGATATCACACTTTGAAGTCACAGAGGTCAATCTCTACCTCTGTCCCTTGAAGTCACAGAGGTCAATATGCCTCTGCCTCCCAGGCATTGGGATTAAAAGTGTGTACCACCACACCCTATTTCTCCCTTTCTTTTTTATTTTTAATGACTTTAACCTTTAGCCTGCATATATTTTTAACACACTGTAAACCATTTAGAAGTTTTCTTTGTCTTTGAATCTCTCTTTACTGCTTATCTCTCTTTTTCTGACCACTTGAGTCTTTAAGAAGAGGATGAAAGCTGTGGCTTTGATGGCTAGATCCTCATGGCTGAGGTACCAGCCAGAGCTGTGTTCACTGCCACAACTCTATGGCTTTTCAAGGTCCTTGCTAGCAAACAAGCCGCAGCATTCTGCTCACAGACCACACTCAGTCGGACTGCCTGCCTGAAAGAGTCAGAGATTGCCCTGGCTGGGCAGCCCAGAAAGCTGGCATTTTAAAACAGCACAGCTTTTTTCCTGCTATGACTGAAAACCAAAAAGCATGCATTCAGTTTTTCATCAACACAGTTTAAGTGTTTCGTGGCAGGACCTCTTAAAAGAGCTGCAAGGTTTTGCAGCTAAAGTTAAGTCAGGAAGCCTCTCTTAGATGAGAGTGCTTGCTTGCCTCTAGCAAGCAGAGCAGACCCAAGAAATTGCTGCCACCAAAAAAACCCATGATTTACTCTATTCTCTCCCAAGCTTTCTCAAGCTTTCCGTGGATTCAGTTATCCACGTGGGTGCCATATGTAACATGAGGGTCGGCTTGTTGGGGTATCTGTCCCACCCAGTACCCCACAACCGGCAAGCCCAAAGAAAAATCAATCACACAGAGATCTCTATAAGTTATAAAACTGATTGGCTCATTTGGTCAGGCTACTTATTAGCTCATAATTTTTGTTACCCCATTATCCTTATCTATGTTAGCCATACGGCTTGGTACCTTTTTCAGTTTTCAGCTTATATGTTGCCTCTTCAGTGATCTGGGCAGGAATGGCGAAGGGACCTTCCTCCTCCGTAGCCTTATTCTATTCTCATTTCCCCGCCTCTACTTCCTGTCTGGTTTTCCCGCCTCTACTGCCTGCCTGGCCAATCAGCGTTTTATTAAAATATGATTGACAGAATACAGACAATTCTCCCACATCAAATCTTGACTCAGGACAAATTGGGATTTGTGGTTTTGACATTGAAAAGAATCTCAGGAGTGGCCATGATAGCAAGGATTTTTGAATAGGCTTGAGGATGAGGAGGTATCTATCACGGAAAGCAGTTGTCTGAGGCCCTGCTGCTAGTGCCACCAGCTGATTCACCACCATGCTGTTCTTATCCAAAAAGATCAGAAAGTCTGAGCCAAAATTAACCTCTACCTCTCTTACACTGAGTCTTGGCATCAATGTGGGAGGAGCCATGAGGGAAGAACTCCAAAGTGATGATGGCTTCTGGTCAACTGTGATTGGTTCATGGCTCTGTGACCTCATAAGGAACCATTGTGATGAATGAGAGAGGTCTACCCATGTTAGTCACCAGCTAGGCCTAGATCTTGTCCTTAGAATGCAGTGAAGCTGTTGGTTGGCTGCAGAGGATTTGACTTAAGAACTAGGTCTTGAGAGACTTTAATATTTATTGTCTGTTTTTGGAACAAAATGTCTATGTTCATCACTGATCTGAACATTGAGAATGTGCTTCCCAGTGGGGTCATGTTTGTGCATGAATTTTGACTGACGGTTTAGATTTAGTTAGTGCCTGTTCTTCAACTTATTTTAATATCATTCATTTTCTATTATTCTCTACACATTCATCTTTAACATTTTGTACATTGGTTTATTTCTTTATATTAAGTTTTCTTAACTTAGGTGTAAAATGTAAGGGATTTGGTTTTTTCATGTGCTTGGAGCAAACATACCTGCCTTGTTACTTCCCTCAGCATTTCCCTGTGGTTGTAAATCCCCTTATCACATTAAGAGTCTTCTCCTGCCCACCATGCCACTCAGTAAACAAAACATGCTATGGAAAGTCTTGAGGGATGACAATTTCCTCATGGCCTTCCAGTGTCACAGATAGGCCATCATCCTTTCGATGTCCACAAATATGAGTTTAAGGGAAAGGAACTGCGTGTCATGAGGGTAGAGATGAAGAGGGCTGCAGTAGTTGCAGTCATCAGAGAATTTGAGGGTCTGAGTATAAAGGACCTTGAGGAAGCTTGTGTGTTCACTGTCTAGTCCATAGTCCTGTCTCTAACCCAGGGTAGCCCAAAGCCAACTGAGTCCACTCTTGTTACTGTGGCTGTTATTAAAGTCCAGAAGTCCTTAAGGTTTGTGTGGGAGAATTTTCACATCATCTCAAGTCTCTGGATTTCCGCTCTCTTACAGGGGGTGCTGTTCAGGAGGTTGTAAAGTCCTATGGTCATGGAACCCAGCAAGGGAAATTGAATCATTAGAGGCAACAGGACATGACAAAGCCATGTAAGAAACTGCTTCAAATTCATCTTCCCAAGTCTCCAAGATGGTTTCCCAGTCCTCTGATTGTCTGAGTCATAGCACAACCTATGGAACAAATTTTGCTGCTTCTCGGGAAAATGGTCATGGCAGTGAGAAAACAAACACATTCCTTGGAGATGGAAGGTGAATATTTTCATGGCTTTAGTTTTGGTTGTGAATAGCTGTATTTGGTTAATTTCCTCCTATGGCCTCACTGGAGCCATTGTGAGAAGTTGCAGACTCTACTCACTTGAGGCCCTGGTTGGGACTTCTCACTTTGCAGAGAAGCTGTTGCTGGTCCGGCTGCAGAGTTGTTGAGCTCATACATTGATTAACGTAAACCTTGATATTATTGATCTACAAAAATAGATGCTGCTCATTTGTTTTGACATCCAAACAGTGAGTTTGCTTTCTGTTTTGTTGGTTTTGATTTATGTCTCTGATTTGGTTCTTGATTTACTTTGTGTTATTCATTCATTTTCTTCTTACTAGTCTCATATTTCAATTCTTAAGCATGATTCCTTATAATTTTTTAATTTAATTTTTTTTGGTTTTCAAAGTTTTATTAGTATCGACAAACTGTAAAAAGCCAGCTATTTCATCAATATATGAATGTTTATCACACCTACCTGTGCTATCTATTAGCCCATAAACTCTTTGGAGCACTTAAATTCTCATCTATCCTGGTAACTATCTTCCATACTTGCTATGTTGCACCCTAGAGCTCTGCAAAAAGGACCAAAGAAATGTCATGTGTATCATGAGGTAAAGTCCATTTCATCAGAGCATTCCAGTGTCAGGGAAGGCTAGCATCCTTTAGATGACCATCTACAGGAGTTTTAGATAAAGGTAATGAATATGTGAAGGGTAGTCAGAATACTTAGAGAACATAGAATCCTAGTGAAAAGGGCATTGGGGCAGACCATTGGTTCATTCTCTAACTAGTTCATACCTGTGTCCCTAGCAAAGGTCAGCACAAAGTTGCCGAGTCTGTCCACCTTCTTACTATGGCACTTGTTACTATGTTACGTGCTTACTATGTTCTTAATGTCAAAGTGTCCTGCTCAGGTTTGACAGGAATGGTCTCACACCTTATCATGTATCTGAATGCCTGTGCTCTAGCAGGGAGGTGTAGTTTGGGAAGGTCATAGAAACCCAGGGCATCAGGAGTAATTGTGGGAATGTATGCACTGGGGACCTGCAAAAGTCATGTGCCCAAATGCTTTAGACCTATTTTCCCAAGTCCCCAGCTCCTCATCTTCCATCCCTCCCTGTCCTGTGAGAGCCTGAGAGGAAGCTTATACTTTGTCTTTTAAATTGTATCTTCTTGGAAATTTGCTCTGGAGCTGGGTAGAGAATCATCTTTTAGGCTATTTGCTGTTATTGGTCCATTCCTTACTGCGACATCACAAAAAAGCCTTTGTGAGAAGTTATCAAAATTTCTTAATATAAGACCCTGCAGCGAACTCAGTTTGTCTTGATGCCGCAGAAAAACTCTTGTTGAATAGAGAGCACCCAGACTTCTACACTTGACCTGATAAACTGGAATCTCCTAACTTGGACCATGACATTTGGAGATTTCCTCTTTGTTGTTTGGATTTTGTGTTCAGTATTTCTTAATACACACACTCAATACTTTTGGCTGAGGCATGGATTTCTGTTTATGTGTTCATTTTACTTAATTGTTCTGTTTAAAAATTTTTGCCATGTTTTACTTTGGCTTAGTTTTTCTTATTTTACACCTTATCTGTGTGACATAAGGAATTTTCTATAATACTTCTATAGATGTATACAGTGACCTGGAATTATTTTCATCTGCTCTGTGACATTACACCTTCCCCTTGTGCCCCAAAGTCCCCCATTTTAAATAAGGTTCCAGCTACCGATCCACAGCTCTAGTCACCAGTTCTCTGGAACCAGCAGCTTATAGTATGAACCTCATGCCTGTTTCTTCTTCAAAGAATGACAAAATTGATGTTTTTGTGACTGAGTGTGGACGACTTCACTTGATCACATTACATGTTTGCTAAATAGTTTTCCCATAGAATTGTCCTAGGATTCCCTGTTGAACTCTCTGTGAACAGGAAAAATCCTCACTGTCATGTGTTTGTTGACTTAGTGTGAAGAAGCAAGAATTCCAATAACAGATGTACAAGTGGGTATTCACCAAGGACATTGGAGTACACTCAAGCCTGTGTGGATGACAGGTGGGAAGTTGCATTTTTGGGGATGTGGACTCAGCTATGCCAGTCATAGAGCAATTATCCTATGAAAATGCTAACAGATTTTGTCACGAGGTTTTATGCCCCCATAGAAATGGAAATTTAGATGAGTTTATCCAGTATCCGGCTATGCAGGGACATTGATGGCATTCATGTGATGGGTCAGATAATTGTTTCTGCCCTTAGGGAGGGTCAAGGTGGAGCTAGATCAAGGAATTGTTTTCATTGTGGAAGGTCAGGACACATCAAAGGAACTGCCCTGTGGGAAAAGGGGCAGTTAATCAGCCCAGGGGAAAGACAGGTGTAACAGCCTGTGCCTTCAATCCCAGCTATTCAAGGCCAGTGTGGTCCTACAGAGTGAGTTCCTGGAACAGCTAGAGGCAGGATGCATAGTGGCATCCACTTCTCCCTGGAACACTCCTATCTTTGTTATTAAGAAAAAGTCTGGTAAATGGAGGTTGTTATAAGATCTTAGAGCAATAAATGGTTATATGGACATTCTGCAGGGGAATCCAGATCCAACTTCCTTTTGTGAGTTGATAATTTTTCCCTCTCAGCATAGTCCTCCTGGAGTTTTTTTGGCAGAAGAGACCCATCCTATGGGTACATGAACATGTGTTACCTGTAAAAATTGTTATTTCATACCCATCAGCTGTGCTACGTGCTAATCAGAAAGGGTATAAACTTGGTTTACAAACCTTTGGAATGTTACCTGATAAGGTCATTACACCATATACCCAAGCAAAAATAACTTGGCTACAGAATTTTGCTGAGGATTGGACCTTGTTTTTATACACTAATCCCTCCAAGTTTGATAATCATTATCCTTCGGAGAAGTTGCTCACCTTTTTCAAAAATCATCCGGTATGTTTCCCTAGAGTTATTTCTTTGCAGCCTCTGGCAGGGGCAAGGAATGTATTTACTGATGGTTCTTCCACCGGGAGAACTGTGGTGGCCTACCCTCCTGATTTTGATATTCAGCCTGTTGATACTAAATCTGCTCAGGTGACTGAATTGATCACTGTACAAATGGCCTTAGAGAAATATGCTGACATTCCATTTAACCTTTTTACTGACAGTCAGTATATAAGCAAAATTCTTGCGCCTTTGGAAACTGCAGCTTATATTGCTTCTGTATCTCAAGTCCAGATGCAGTTATTGGTTATCCAAACTTTGCTTTGGGTCCGATCTGTTCCCATTTACATAGGACATTTGCAGTCTCATAGTGACGCCCCTGGTCCCTTGAGCGAGGGGAATGCTTTGGCTGATCAACTTACTCCCCAAATTTGTGCAGTGAGTCAAGAATCTTACAAAGCTGCAGAAAAGGCTCATAATCATTTTCATCTCAATGCTGGGTCTTTAAGATTTCATTTTAAGATATCTTGAGAGCAAGCCACTGATATTGTTAAAAAAATGCCCTTTGTGTATAGAACTTTTAACTGTTCCCCATTTCAGAGTTAATCCTCGTGGGCTTGCTCCTAATCATTTATGGCAAATGGATGTTACCCACGTTCCTTCTTTTGGGCACATGCAATATGTTCACGTAACCGAGGATATGTATTCTCATCTCATTTTTGCCTCAGTTCATACAGGAGAAAAATTACAGGATGTTAAAAGTCACTGTCTCCAGGCTTTTGCATAAGTTTTTCCTTATGCAAAAAACTTTTGCAGAGTTTTTCCTAAAACTCTGAAAACTGACAATGGACCAGCCTACACCAGCACTGGCTTTGCTAAATTTTGCACTGAGTTTTCTATTTCTCATAAATCAGGTATACCCTATAATCCCCAAGGACAAGCTATAGTAGAACAAGTGCATCATACACTCAAAGCTAATTTACATAAAACAGAAAGGGGGATTATGGTTCCACCCCCAGGGACCATTTGTCTTTTATTTTACACATTTTAAGTTTTTTGACTATTGGTGCTCATTCCCAGACCACTGCTGAGCGACATTGATGGCCAAATTCTTCTGGGATGCCTCATGTTAAATGGAAGAATCTAGCAGATGGCACCTGGTATGGTCCAGATCCTTTACTAATGTGGGGTAGAGGAGTTGTCTGTGTTTTCCCGCAGGATGTTGACAATCCAATTTGGGTACCTGAGCGTCTGGTTCATGCTGTGGCTTTTCCTGTCCAGAAGCCTGAAGACAGGACAGAACCAAGAGATCCAGCAGACACTGACCTGCCAACTGAAGAGCTGCTGGGTTCCTGAGAAGCTGGCTGTGGTGGTCCAAGTGCCAAGGACCCTTCCTTTACCCATCTACCCTTCCCATGATATTGACAGCCATTGCTGTGGCTGCTAGAGTGGTTAATGCTGCTGGATTTTTCCCTTAATCAGTTAGTTGCTTCAGGTAGCACTATGGATACCCTCTCAGGGCAGGTTGCAAATGCCTTGGCTGTTCAAATTGAGCTAAATTTACAATTAAATACTGCAGTTAATTTTGCTGTTGGTTGCAGTTTTTGACCTCTGCTAGGTCACAGAAAAGGCTTTCTGCTGTCATTCATGGACCCTGGAGTACAAGATATACTAATTGGCTATTATTTATTAATCTAGTTAACTATACAGGGTTCTTTCCACCAGTGCTGAGACCTTACTTTAAGGGCTCCATTTTGGGCAGATTTATTAAGGATTGAGCAGATACAGTCTCCTTTTGGAGTGCTTATATGTGCTGGAGCATCATCTTCATGATTTCATGGTGCCAGAGCCAAAGGCAAGCTCAGGTCAGTGTTGCCACGTGGCAAGTCCTCTTAGCTACTGTCCCGGAGTATCTTTCAGCATAAATCTGGCTGAACTTGGTGATGGTTGACTAGTGAGCCAATGACGGGTAAGGTTTTTGGGGGGCTGCCTGAAACTAAGACAGGAAATGTGTTTTGACCTGGATGCTTTCCCACGACGGGTAAGGGGTATTGCCTGATGTCCAATGCCACTCAAGACAGGCCTAGTCATATAATTTATATAAAAGGGGGACCTGTAGGACCAGGTCTACCCTTACTCCCTGGAGTGTGTCTTGAGGACAGTTCTGGTCAGCCAGCTAAAGCTTCCTGCTAGTTCCTGTGCTCATTCTGCCATAGCCTGGTGATTTAGCTGTAGGGCATTGTTTCATCTTTGGTGTGGTAGTTTCCTACCTGCCTGGGAGGAGTTCCTATATGGCGTCAGGTTCCCCCTTTGGCTGGGAGGGAATTCCTTTACTGGGGCCCTAGTATATTTGGCAAAAAGTTGAATAAAGTGGCATTTGGCTGATCTTCTTTCGAATGACCCAGGTCTCTTGTGTGTGTTTCTTTCAATCTCTAGGCCTTTGCCCAGACTTGTGATTGGTACGGAGGCATGTGAGCCATACCAAGAGGGTAATGCAGAATCGGGTGTTACAATGGGAGAGTAGACTAGCCCAGTGGTGAGTCCTGCCGATGTCAGAGTCACTAACAAAGTCATTTGCTTGTGTCTTTTTTCAACATGTCCTAGGGCCATGTTTTTAAACCATGGGTCTCATGTCAGCCTGCTGTGGCCCACCAGTCACAAGAGGGAGTCAGGCAAGAATTTCATAGAGTTGTGTACCCCAAAATATGATGTTCCCTGTGAGACACCTCCAGCAACATGGGCACAAGCGCTCTAGCCCTCTTCTTCCCGCATGGGAGCTGTTAGCTCCCACAAGGTAAGCTCATTCTCAGTCCAGCACTATGGCTGGAGAGAGAAGTCAGACACATGGCCACCCCATCTTAAAAAGCCAGGCATCCAACTTCTGCAATCCACATTATACAACTTTGCGTTCTACACAACATGGGGTCTTCACCAAGTCATTCCCTAGTTTTAAAGGTCCTTATCAATGACCAGCTATAAAGAAGTTCATGTACTGTGCAGGCCCAGGAGTTAAGAGGGAACAGGGTAGAGAGGAGGAGGAGGTGTGTGGGACAAGGCAAGAGAGAAGAAAATCAATAAGAGATTGAGGAGGACAGGGCATGACACTGGGGATGGGGACGAGAGTCTGCCCATAGAAAATTCCAGTTCCAGGCAGCTGAGAAGAAAGAGATAAGCTTGTAGGACAGGAACAGGGATCTTGGTTGGGCTGATCTGGAGAAACTCTCTGAAGAAGAGATATATGGGATGCAGGACATGGGTTCCCAGAAGCAGAAGAGTATGCCTTCCGGGGGGGGGGGTTCAAGACAACCCTTTCCCATAAGCCTCCTTCTCCTGCTGTAACCAACCTCAGTCTGAACTGGTAGCATCTGTGTTCTTTTCTTCACAGCCTCCTGCCACCAGGGTCCATGCTACCCTTCTCCTGTTCCAGAAATTTAGAAACTGTGGTAGTATTTTAATCCCAGTGAATGAATCTTTCTCTTTGATTGGCTAAAATTACAGGACTTTTCTGGCTACTGTGAAAAGGTAACTAGGACTTCAGAGGGCCATGGAACATCACTGTCAGACAAGGTCAGCATTGTTAGACTGCTTTGTGTTCGGTGATGACATCTGGAGTCTAGATTGGGGAAACATTCACTGTCATGGGTCTATGAGGTGTCAGCCAGTGTTAATGTGTATGTTCTTGCTGAGTGAGGCATCTGTAGAATTCATGGTCTCCATACAGGTAATGAACAGCTCTCTGGGTCAGCAAGAGCTTCCCAGCCAACAGGGAACCCAAGGTTCTTGTCTGAGGTGATTATTTGGATTAGTGGTTCTCAATATTCCTGTGCTGCAACCTTTTAATAAAGTTTCTCATGTTGTGGAGATCCCCTTTGCTCCTGCTTCATAGGTATGTTTGTGTCTGTTATGAGTCATAATGTAAATATCTATGTTTTCTGACGATCTTAGGTGAACTTGTGTAAGGTTCATTTGATCCCCAAAGAGGTTGAGACCCACAGATTGAGAAGCACTGATTTAGATGAATTAGTTTGATTCTCTGAGTGTCTCTGTGTGGAAGATGAGTTTCTGAAGCCTGGTCTTGATGTAATCCATCAATGAATTGGGCTTTCTTATGTCTGCTGAGAATGCTGGCATTGATCTGTCTGAATGTGGGTGTTGTGTCAGCTTAGCAAATTGTAATACACTTCCTTGGTCACCGCTGAGTACAGCTTGCACACACAAGTCTCTGTGGCAGCCACAATGCCAAACTCTACTGGTGTTGATGGTGCAGTGGGTCAGCAGGTCATCATAAGGAGGGATTAACAGTTGTCTTCCTGTGTCATGAATCATTTGCCAGATACCCTAGGGCCTTTGAGATAGGAACTTGAAGCAGACAGATATCTATTCTAGCATTCACTTACTGAATTTGCCCATTACTGCTGTTTGCACTCTATTGCTTTGACAAAGCACTGTGTCCAAGGCAACTCATTGGAGAAAGCATGCTACTTAGGGGCCCCAGGCACAGATGAGGGTCAACACATGACCATCCTGATGGGAATCTAGCAACAAGCAGAGTCATGGCATTGAAGCTGGAGGTGATAGCTGACACTGATTCTCAAGCAAGACACAAACACAAACACACACATACACACACACACACACACAAAGAGAGAGATAGAGATAGAAATAGATAGATAGAGAGAGAGAGATATTTGAGATTTCTTGGAATGGGTTTGGCTTTAGAATCCTTAAAATTCTGTGGCCCCATACTGACACTTTCTGTTCCATATGCAAATATGTTCACCCATGGGGGCCATTCTCATTCAAACTAAGCCACATATTAACCAGGATATGACTGAATGAAACTCTTGAGTAGCATCTCCCAATATCTGACTGTCGGTGTTCCCACCCTTCTGCTCTCCTTGCATTTTCAGAGAGCAGATGGCACCACTGTCTCTCTTGAGAGTTTCAAACCTGCACTTCCTTATAGATGTCTGGAAGACAGAAGAGACCTTTGTACTCCAATTTTATCCACAAAGAAGTTTCTTTTGTGGAGTCCTTCACCTAGAAGAGAACTGTTTGACTCTCTGCACCCAATTCGATATTTGAAAACACCTCACAAGATCAGAATGGGCTAGATAGTCTCAGAAAAAGAACAAATAACAGGCCTACCTCTCAATTCTCATTGGGAGATAGAACACACAAAACCATCAGTGGTCTACCTTATGTGACAATAGAAGTCTGGCCACACTGGCAACCTGTCAACCAAGCCAACTTGCTGAAAGAGGTGGGACATTCAACATTAGTGTCTTTCAGCCCCTGACTTTCATAGACTCAGCAGTCAATGTGAACATAAGTCCTGGACCAGTGCAGGGCACCATGAAATTTAGGGAGTGCCCCATCAATCAGATCCTTGTGTTGAGAAAGCCATCTAAATGAGCAAAGGGTGATTTTCATAGCTTTTTCATGAGGCCTTGCAAAGTAGGAGGAATAGCAAACTGCATGACTCTGACATGATCTCTTTCCTGTCATGGTGAAGCTGAATGGGAGGCAAGTGGGCAGGTAGTCAGAGAATTCAGGCTGAGTACCATGGAAGGTTAGAATGTGACACATATGTCTGGTTAGCTTTCTGTAAGCAAAGGCTGTCTAGCCAGGGACAATGTGAAAGAAATCTGTTTCTAATAGACAAGGTTATAGAGTCCTTGAGGAACACCATCTAATAAAGCCAGGCCACTTCCTTTCAAAGACTTGAAGCCACCAACCTCATCTGACCTTCGGTCTTACCTCAGAAAAGCATGTGGTTACTTCTCTGCCCCTTTATGACAGCAAATCCACACTGCTCATCTTCACACAAGTCAAGAAACTATTTTTTTTGTTTTTTGGCCATTCTTCCTGATTCCCCAGGCTGCTCACCATGGCAGAAAATGGATTACAACCTTTAGTCTTCCTTAGTTTGCAGGCACTCATGAACACATTTAACTGTGAACATTTCTTGCTTCCCATACAGAGCTACAACAGGGAATCAACCACAACACAGGGTCAATTATTCATTTGTTCTGTTGACAATACGAGGCTTCTGAGAGATATCATAAGATGAGAATGTAGCCATCAAATTGCTTCAAGCATGTTTGAAGTGCTTGGTCTTCAAACATGAAAGCATGAACTCAGAACTAGCTGCCACATAAAAGCCTTGCATGCTAGTGTGAAGATATCCTACCTCTATAGGAATGGGAGGGAGAAGTCCCCTTTTCATCCTTGTACAGATGGTCTAGAGTTATTGACAATTTACAGGTTCGAGGAGAATGTCTCAGGAAGCAAAGTAAGTGTGAAACTTGAGAACCTTTTCTACTCACAAAGGAGTGAACATTGACAGTGCTCCAGAAGACACATATAAACCCAGACACATACAACAGTTGGGAGTCATAAAAAAGGGGAAGAGAAAAATACATGGGTGAAGGTTTCATCTTTTATAAATGATTGTTCTCATGTGCAGGATCTATTTCTCAACTTGCGATAACTGTGACTTATGACAGTAACAACTGTAAATGCTGTAGCATCATTCTAGCTAAAAGCTCCTGCAGAAGTATGTTTTCAACACACTTCAGATGATTCTGCTGAAAATCACATGTCACTTGAATCTGTGAAGAACAGGAGGGTGTAACCTGTTGTAAGCTGCCTTTTTGGGACCACAACAGAATGTCAGCTCATAGCTTTTTGTAGAAGCCTTTTCCACACTGTCTCAGTACTATGGACTCAATGGCTACATTTGCTGGATGTAGGCACATCAGGACTATGTTCCACTCTCCAGAGTTGAAACAATGCTTTCCAAAACCTGATACAGAAATTTCTCTGTTATTTTATTATTATTTTATTAAAGGTTCACTTTATTTTTATCCTGATCCATCTCTTAACATTGATATAAAGCTATGATATACAGTCCCAAGTAAATTGAAATATTGCAGCATAACTTCTCAGTCAGGATTTTCTAATCCTGTTTGATTTCACTGTGGTAGGTATTTTTCAGAACTATTTCACACAAAAGTGTTGGCATTGGCTCTTGTAGCAGCCTGTTCTTCAGGGCTCCTATGACACCTTATTGATAGCTGTGACTGAAGCACACAGACATGTCATGTCTACAGCATGGCCACAGGGACACCTGATGCTTCTTGACTGCATTGGCATGAGTAGTCTAGGAAATAGATAGTAAGGTCCTCTGTTCTTGGGGTCACATGGTTCCAGGGCTCTCATGGGTGAGAAGAAAACAGAGTGTTTGGAATGGCCAAATGAAAAGGAGACCTTAAGAGATGTAAAGCTACAATCATATTTGAAAACATTTATAGGTCAAGAGAAAAAACAGGCCTAAGAAGGCACCTTCAGTTCAGATGTCCCTGCTTCATCTTTCCAACCATCAGCACAGATCTGTCTCAGGAAATTCAGAGACACAAAAAAACATCAGAGTTACTAGGGAAAACATGGAAACCAAAGCAAGGGAAGCACACTCAGGAGGCAGAGGCAGGAGGATCTTTGTGAGTTCAAGATTGGCCTTGTTCACAAAGGGAGTTCCACGATAGCAAGGGCTGTTATACAGAGAAATCTTCTCCTGAAAAAGCAAAAGAAGCTTGAAAGAGTGGTGTCCATTCACTGCTTGGTAGGCAAGTATAAGTTCTGACTTCCTGTCTTCCTCCTCTCCCTTGACAAATAGGAATGGTGACATATGCTTGGAATCCCACCACTGGCAAGGCAGCCATGTGCTGATTACTGGGTCTCACTGTCAATGCCATCAATCTAGCAGAATCACTGAGACATGATATA